GGGGTGTGGGGCAGGGGGGGGCACCAATCAGTCTGGCTGGCTTCCAGGGGCATAACCTCCCCCAGCTCACCGATCCTTGGGCGTGGAGTTCCACTAATACAAATCCCACAAACAGGCAACCTATCTCCTTATGTAGTTGAAAGAAAACACACAGCACATCTTCTCCGGCCAGAAATTCATCAAATAAAAAACACAGTAGGAGGGAAAAAAAAAAAATGATGAGAAATAAACTTCTGAATGTCATCACTTCATTCAGTTTCCAGGATTTCCAATTTCACCTCTTGGAAAACCCCAGAAATCAAATTTGAACAGCAGGAAAGTGGCATATTCTAATCTCTCCTAAATATGCAATAAATTGTATTTATAAGGAAAATGCAGCATCAGAAAGCCTACGCTTCTTTATATTCTAATGGATTAAAAAACAATTCAGAAGTTGTTTGTAATTTCTTCTCGTAGTTGCATGAGGTCTATGGCATGAGATTTAGCTTAAAGCTACCATTCAATTTTGATGAGATTTATTTGAAAAAAAAAAACAAGTCAAAACCAGAGGCACATTGCCTCTCGCACCCTACTCCCTGGTACTTTAAAATATAAGACTTTCCTCCCACCCACCGTTTACACGCCAGGAGCAGCTGTCCACCAAGCCCGTCCAAATAGGAGACGGGCAATCTACGTGAAAGCACAGCCTTCTCGGACTTCGAAATAAACACCGTGCACAGTGTCAAGTCACGGCTTAGTGTCCTAAGGCCGCCACTAGCTCATCATTCTCTCCACCCCCCTCACGGTTATTACAGACAGTATGTTGTAAGCCAGCACAACAGACTGCATCTTCGGGGTCTCGGGGTTGAGCACAGCACACAGGCAAACCACTCTGGTTTCGCCAGAGCTGTCCCACTCCATCCAAGAACCAGGTCCAGGCAGAACTCTCCCCTCCAGATATGCTAAGGGGATAGACGATCTAACTCAGCGTTTTCCAAGCCATGAGGACAGAGGTTTCCCCAGACCACAAAGAAAGAGAGTTTCAATTTTCTCATCGGAGCTCATCACCTCCCCAAGATAAGTCTTCATGAAGCGTCCATCCCTGCTGTAATGGAAAGGTACACAGAGATGGAGTCTGCATCTCTAAAGAAAGCCATCAAGGGCCCCCTTCCTCTGTTTCTCCTGTCAATTGTTCCCCAACAGGAGAAAAATGACAAGGCTGTGTCACTATAGCAACTAACTTAATTGGTGGACTGCAGGTCTTTCTCCAGCCAGAGGGTGGAGCCCATCTCCTTAAATATGAATCTCAGCAGGCTTCAAAGAAGGGAGGGCTTTCACGGGGCCAAGAACAGTAGAACACCCCTAACCGAAAACGACGCCAAGAAAGATTCCAGTTTTCTTCTAGCAGCTCCAGGAAGTGAACACCTTTTGTGCTGCAGAGAAATGCACAGATTTAATAGGCAGGATAATTGAATCCTGTATGACACTTACCAGTCTCCCTAACTAATGATACAAATAGATCTGCTCCAAAACACAAAAACAAAAATTTGGGGTAATAAAAATCCTTACTGATAACAAAAACAATTTACAGACATGGGTGCCAACTATTCTTCATCCCAGATATACTGGAAAAGGGAAGGAAATCACAGGAACTGTTCCATTTGCATTTTATTTGCTTTATCGATTCTAAAAAAAAAGAAGTTCTTTTTTCTCTAGGACTGATGCTCCAAGCTATCAATTATTATTATGTCTATTTCGTATTTTAGTGCAGTGTTTTAATTCCTCCAAGTGCATATGCCTATTTTGTATATTAGCGAAATGTTTTAATTTCTCCAAGTGCCTTTCTGGTGTAATGGGGTGTGTCCAAAAACGTTATCTTATTGTCAGTTATTCCATTCCATGGAGGTGGAAACAACCATAAAAATGTGGTTAACCCAAGCTTCGGCTATTAATGATTTCTGCCATTCTGGATTAGATGTTTTTTCTTTACCAAATGTCGTCGTCCTGGTGGAAGAGCTGTTTCCAGAATGCCAGGGAGGCCTCCGCAAAGCAGCCCGAGTGTCCAATGGGATCTCGGGTTCCACCAAGTGTCTGAGCAGCGGGCAGGCCCCGACTGCCACCTGGAGCAGGCAGCAGTCTGGCAAAGGTGTGAGTGTCAGGACAGACATTGCGGGTCCCCCTTCAGATTCAGGAGGTGCTGGGTGGGGGGGTGGAGTGAGCAGAGATTGCACACAGAAGGTGAGAAAGGAAGGCCCTGGCTGGCGCACCTGGGGTGCAAAGTGTTGAAGCCACAGGGCAGGGCGGAGGTGTCGTGTACTTAACAACAATTAGCAGGTGCTCCTCTCTGTACCCGGAGGGCTGCCTCCCCAGCCAGCCTGTTGTTTCCGGGTTCTCGCCTTGGCACCAACGACGTTGTCCCCAGAGCCGGGGAGGGACAGCAGCCTGGGGACTTGGGGCACAACAATCCCCTTCCCAAACACTGCTGGATGAGCCCCCCTCCCATGCTGTCACCAGGAAGTGCATTTAAATGACACCTCCTGGGTGAGCTCCGAGTTTACCTGCTTTTCACCTGTTCCCCATGGCCGAGGAAGCCGGCTGAGGCTCTTCTCTGGAACCCTGGGAACGCTGCCCCAGGGCCCCGAGATGGCCGCGAGGAGCTGGGGAGAGGGCACAGACCTCGCTCAAACCCCCAGAACAGCCCCGCTCCAGGCAGCCAGCGCAGGAACGCATTCGGAGGGGCAGGCAGGGTGCAGCCGGGATGGCGGTGCCAGTCTGGGCAGTCGGGCTTGCGGCCCCACGGGGAATCTTCCCGCTCGGAGACCCCTCCCCACGCGTCCCCACGCGTCGACAGCAACTGCAGCGAAATGCACAACCCGGCTGAGACCAGCAGCACGACTCCTGCTCTGAGCACCGCCATTTGGGGACGATGAAGGGGGGCTGGGCTGTCCCAGGACTCCGCGACCGCGCGCGCCCCGCGTCTCCATGGCCCGCCGCGGTCCCATTTTGGAGAGAGCGAAGGCTCGGGCTGGGAGCTAGGTGGCCGAGGGCTGCGAGGTGGTGGCGGGGAGCGAGGCTCCGCGCCGGCCTCTCTCTCTCTCCCTCTCCCTCTCTCTCTCTCTCTTTTTTTTTTTTTTTTTTTTTTATATTTCTAAATGAGAACCTAAAAAATAGCTTATTTGTTAAATTTCTGTAAGAAGAATTATTTTCCCAACCATGTAGGAGCAACTTTACTCTCTAGTTTGCAGGTGGCAGTGGCTGATGTTTAGTCTCACTTTTTTTTTTTTTTGTAAAGAATCCATATTTTTCCATCGCCCATGGCAATTCTCCATGACAGGTGTTCCTCAGCGCCCGTCCTTTCCTCCCGCTAGGATAGGAAGGGACCCGGACCCTGTGCCAGGCGGTCGGCGGGGGAGCCCACCTGCCCGCGCCATCCCGGCCCGGAGCCTGTGCCCGGGACGCTGACCACTCCCCACCCATCCAACCAGCCGCGAACCCGTGTCCGGAGCATTGACCATCCACCCCCACCGCAGTCCCTAGGCTGTGCCCAGCGTCCCACCAGCCTCCACTCCCCCAGCCCCCAGCCTGTGCCCCGGGCGCAGCCCCCCGACACACCCAGGCAGACCCCGACCCTGCTCCCGGTCCCCCAGCCCACAGCCTGTGCCCCGGGCGCCCGCCAGCCCGCGCCACCCCAGCCCCGAGCCCGTGGCCCTGCGCCAGCCCCACTGGTTCACCGGCTCGCGTCCCCGGACCCTACTCGCGAAATGCCGGCGGAAGCGGCGAGCCCTCTCCGGGCACCCCAGCCCTCACTTGTCTTTTTTAGGAAAGCGCCGGCGAGCCTGCTTCCCGGGAAGGCAGAAGCTCCAGCCGCGCGACCTAGCCCGAGCCCCGCTCCTTCCCCAGGCGCCCCGCTCCGGACTCGGCCGCCGCGTCCCCCGCCGGAGTGTCGCCAGAGGAAAGCTCAGGGCAAGGCGCTCCACCGACAGCCCAGGCAGCGCTGCCCGCCCGCCCCGGACCTGCCGCCGCCTCCTCAGATCAGAGTCAAACGCAAATGCACACGTGGAACAAAGAAATCCATGAAAGTACAAGACGGGAGGACAGCTGACCGACACGGGGCTTGGGACCGACCAGAGTCTCAGGGGGGAAGTTACTGTGTGGCCACCATGCGCCTCTCGAGGACCTTCAGCCTCAGTTTCCTCACTTGTAAAACGGAGCTCGCCAGCCTACTCCCTGAGTTGCGGGAGTAAGTCGGCACAGGGAGCCCTCGTCACGAAGGGCAGGCAGGGCAGGGCTCAGGAGGCCCGGGAGGGTGGCAGGGGACAGGGCCGGCTAGCGGGGAAAGGGAACGGACACAGGCCTCCAGGATGGTGGGGGTGGAGGACGCGGGACCGGAGGGCCGGCCGAGGACCCGGGCCGCGCGGTACTCACTGCAGTAGGCGATGAGCAGGCTGGCCAGGATCATGAACGCCCAAAAAGTTGAGGACATGCTGGGCAGGGCGGTCGCATCTTGCCGGCTGCTGGTCCTGGGCGATGGCGCCATTGAAGCCGCGGCGCCCGCGCGGGGGGCAGCAGCGCGTCTCAGCAGCCGGCCCTGCCCGCGCCCCCGCGCCGGCCTCCACGTGCGGGCCCCGCGCGCGCCATCCTCCGCCGCCGCCGCCGCCGCCGCCGCCGCCGCCGCTCCGCACCTGGTGCCAAACTTTCCCAGCTCCATCCCGCTTGCTTCTGCCGGCCGTGTGCGCGTGTGTGCGTGTGCGTGTGTGTGTGTGTGTGTGTGTGTGTGTGTGTGCGCGGTGCGGGAAAGAGAGTG